CGTCTATTTACCCATGTGCCACTACTTGATCTAGGGACATCTCTCCAGGAAAGTAAGTACCTGATGAAGGCCAAGAATGATCTTCAATCTTTCCTTAACTTTAATAAAATAAATTTGTGCCAGAGGAAATCAAAACCAACTTGTTTTTTAGGAGCTGCACTGCTTCTTTCTGTTGGAGGAAGACAATCCCAGCTATTCTTGTTTTTCCCAATCCAACTTTTTCCTTCTAGGAAAGATTTGTCTGCAAGTATGTCTAGTCCCTGCTGAACTTTTCTGGAGACCTTCAGGTTTATTTCTTCAATCAAAGCTTCTCAGGTGAACAGGAGGGGACCTTTAAAATGCACACAAGCACAAAGGTTCAAGCAAAAGCTGAATTCCTAACCGGTAGAGGTTTATTTTAATAAAAAACAGAAACTCAAGGCTGAATGAGACCTTATTTAACTGGCTAATAAATTTCATTTCAAACTCCCAACTACAGTAGGCACACCTGTACTTGACAAAGAACCTTCGTGAGAGCATGCAGCACCTCCAGTTCATGTAAGAGGGAACTCGCTTCAGCTTTGACTCGAGCCTGCCCGTGTCCTCCTTAGCTAGCCAGGGGCAGATGTTGCTCACATGGATGCAGCTGCAGGATTTAAGCTTCAGCACAAAACCTTAAAATGCAACTTTGACCTTCTTAAATCTTGTAAGTTCTTCAGGGCATTTTACTTGCAAACTTCATCAGCTTTTGTACTGTTTGAAAAACATCGGTACTACAGCAGAGGTAAGAAATTAAGGCAAGCGATACTGGTGCAAAACTCCTGGACTAGCATCCTTGGATTGACTTTTAACAACTTTGGCAAATCCTATCAGCTAATTGCTATAAATCTGGTCTAACGGGAAAAAAAGAATCAATACAAACATCCTAAAAATCCTAATGGATTTAGCAGATCAGGTAGGGGAGAGCAAGGCAACTGAATACCTGAGTTTAGATAATCTAGCAGCTGTATCAGCAAGCCTTTCTTTTAAAAACATATATAAAGATGTACGTGTACACATAACGACACATTTATGTAAAATTTATCGACATCACACATACATTTTTTTTTCCCAAGTGCTAATGATTAGACATCACAAGGAAACAGAAGCATCAGGTCTAAGCTTAAGAGGCAAGAGCTCCAACACCCGCCACCACGTTCACACCTTCTCCATAGTAAGTATCACAACACATGGGTTACCACATGGGTCCATTTTCTCAGGCACCTACAAGTAACTTAAACTTCTCTCCCATACTACTACTCTGATTAAATCTGCTTTGCAGATAAAACCTTTTCCAGAGTTGAGGACAAGGACCCAACACACTGCGCATGAACAAGCAGCCCAATGAAAGAAATGTTCTAAAATCTCTAATTTCTCAGCATGCAAAGGCATCATTTTCGAACTGACTCTTCCCATACCTTATTTTACTTAATGTAACACAAGATTCAAGTGACAAGCTCAAGAAAATAATTACCAGAACTTATATTTGAGCGTGTCAATTCTACAATCATACTGCTCTACACTGAAAGAAATCCTGTACTCAAGATAGAAGTTTAGTTGTTAAATGAATATAAAAGGAATATGAAAAATTAATGACAGAATTCCCACTAAGAAATGGAGCAGAGCCATCTGTGCCCAATGCTAACGTTAAGGATACGTAAACAGATTTTCTCTCTCCCATGGGGACAAAGCAGTTTTAATATGCGACCAGCTCTCATGAAAACATATGCAAAATATTAAGGTTTTCTATTATTTTATTTTTACACGTAACTGGCTAGTAACCTAAATAAATCTATACTTAACATTCGACGGTTGAGAAAACGTAGGTTGCGGGAAAAAACCCAAAGAACTGCAACAAACACCACACATTTTGTCCTCTGTGTTTCCAGAGGGGGGTGAAGAACCCTCGACTTGCAGTCATTACGATCATTTTTCTAACAATTCAAAAGAGAGGGAAAAAATGTGAAAAAGGTCCAAGTCCTAACCATCAACAACTTACTAATGCAACTTTATGCAAGAATAAAACTCTGTTATGCAATGGGATTGTAACTCCTCACCTGCTGCTGTTTTAGAATACATTTCCTTTTTAAAGGCAGGACAATCTCACTGTCATGAAAAAAACATGTGTAAAACAAATCAGCTCTATTTGTTATTTACTTATTCTGAAAGCAAAAATCCACATCCCAACAAAAATAAGGAGTCCTTTAAAAATAATCACATTTCAATGCAGTCTATATCCCGAGCCATTTGTTTGAAATGCCAATTGGAGACGTGTTAGATTTAGACGGCGATTATCTTCTCGACGTTACCCCGATGTGATTATACAGTGTTTACTACATCAAAGCCAGAAAAAACACAGTAATAGATTCGGCGACGCACCCACTTGGAACAGAGCAGGCCTATCATTAAAGAACCATAAAAATCATTTTCAAAAGGTTTTTATTTTCAAACACGCTTCAGCACAAGATCTTGCCATAAAGCAAGGGTGTTGAGTATTTTCATTCAACCCACATTATTTGAAGGTACGCTTCAGAAGTTAGGTGAAATTATTTATGTGATCAGGAAAACCTGACTATCCTTCTCGTATAACTCTCTTTCTGGACACATTACGGAAATTCTATGGCCAAGTACTCGCAGAGCTGAACACATCAAGAGATTTTCATTAACATTCATTCCCTCTTTTTTTATTTATAAGTTGTTTTATGCTCTGGTATAAGTTATTTCTTTGAGATGAAACCACAAACAAGTTTTCAGCACTTCTAGTTTTAACACAGTTGCTGTGCTGTAGTCATAATAAAACAAATACTAGCATTTAGTTCATTTAAAAGTGTCAGACTATTGAAGTGGGCAGGTTGCAGGTAAAAATCTGCACGTCACGCCATCACAACCACCCGTGCTGCTCCCCACCCATGTGGGAGCACAGTGTTAGTTTAGATCCAGACAACTACAATTATTACAGTCAAAATACCACATAGAGTTACACAGCATAACATCTGCAGATACCAATTAGAGTGTTGTCACCTGTCTGCGCTCCCTCTCACATCTCCCTTAGCGCTGCTGGGGCTGACTGGTAGGCACTTGAAAAGGAGAACCTTCTGCATTGGGAAGAAGCTCAAACTCTGCCTGAGAGGCTGCACCTGTGCAGCAAACACATATTTAACTGGGGATGCCAAACTGGTCATACCACGCAAACCCTTTAGGAGACCTGACATTATCCTCCCTACCGACCTCCTACGCCTGTCGAATCGCAGGGGAGTGTTGTTTGTGCAACACGGCTCTCAGAGATGCAGCACCGTTTTTTAATATAAACAGAGCTACTTAAGTGTTGGCTATCAGCAAAACTATCGGCTAGATGTGTATCCTGACAGTTATGACAACACCTTGAATACCAGATTTTACAAGGGGGAGAGTACACAAACGGGCTGTCACCCCGCAAAAACGTGCACGAGCTTTCAGCACCTCTGTCACTCTACAAGAGCTGTCCACACATAGGTTTTTATTTCTCAGTGAAAACTAAAGTTGCTGCTTTCGCGTTGCTACAGCCAACGCATTGCTCCTAGCTTTATTCTACAGTAACTGCATTGATCCAAAAGGATATGAGTCATTTTCCCACTCCCCAATGTAATACATCTACAGAAAAATATTTTAACTTGCCCTCTTCTGCATTTAACTTTCTGAGCAGAAAGGTGGGGACAAAATCCTTAGTATGCTCCTGTCTACAGACTGGTATAATTTTCACAGCCCGTGACAGCAGCACTGTATGACCAAAGCTAAAAGAAGGCAACGTGCAACTGCAAACTCAATCACAGTCTCTTAACAAGAAGGCCCTTTCTAGACAGCAAGGCACCAGTTCTGATTGCGTTTTTAGAGCATTACCCTTTAGTTTATATTTCTTAAAGTTTGTTTACAATTATGATCAAACACTATCATATCTCTACAGGAAGATCTGCCAAGCTATGCAAAGTAAACCATGCAAACACTTCTGTAATACCCATCTCACAACAACTTTAACAGATTAGCCACCTTTTGCCCAAGACTGTTGGCAGGACACACACACACACAAACCAGGACACCTGCGGGCAGCCAACACGCTCTGTTTCTCCTGCACCCACCGCAGCTCCCGCGCTGGTGACACTGCTAACTCAGAGGTGGCAAACCAAGCACACCATGCAGCAAGGAAAAGCTGCTGAATGAATTTGGAAAAAGAGAGTCTGTAATTTGCTAAAGGTCCTTAAATAAGCAAAAGCATCAACAGCTAAACTAAAATATCTAGGCACCACATGACTTTTTTCCGGGTAAGGGTGGTCTGATCATTTCAGCCTGAACAACTTTCAAGATCACATAGCTCCAACACGATCTCTCATCTTCTAGAGAAGAGCTCTACAGCTATGCATCTAATTCAAATAAAAACAATACAGAAAACCTGCCAAGCAGACATACTCCTGAACACACACTACAAACCTAGACTAAAAACATATATATACATACGCACTAAAAAAAGATGGTAGACACCAACACAGGAAGTCTTCAAAATAACACATTAAACTTTGTTTGGCTTTAATCAAATAAATCATAATTACTAGAGAATAAGGCTGAATTAGGATTCTTTTCCTAACAACAAAACAAGATCTTGCCTTTCTGAAGGCATTTAGAGCATAGCACTGTATACACAAGTGTCATATAAACACACAGACAAACTCAAGACATTTCTTGACTTGCAGAGGCAGTTTTGATTGACGGTTACACTCACTGCAGAAGTTTCCTTTGACTCAACTCTGAATCCTTAAGCAGCTTTAATTAAAGTATTTACACCAAAACTAAAGAAATTGTTTTAGCAATGCAGAATTTATTAAACAAAGCTTGAATCCTTTTAGATTTATAGTATAACATTTACATTTAGTTTGGAATACATTCAAGATTACAGCCACATTCAGACAAAGTTAAAATTATAGTATTGCAACAGATAAAAAAAATCAACTTACTTTACATAATATCTTGCACCTTCAAAAGTATAAGCTTCCTCCCAACCTGTGGGTAAGTCTGGAAAACAAGCAACAAAACATTCCAATTAACTTTCAAAATTATGCTCCCCTTACTGGTATATTCTCTAATATTAAGGTAGTTAAAATACTGTGCATCTTTTTGCACATATAGAAAGCAATTAGCCCTTTTAATAAATACTTTAAAGCTGGCTCATAAGACTTTCTCAACCTAAACTCTGTAGTCTAAGAGAAACAACATGATGAAAAATCTGACTTCAATTTATCCCTCTGAAATAATAATAAGGTTTTAAGCGTGTCCTTATTTAATAAGGTTCCTTTCATGATCAATGATTAGAAATCATGGTCACTGTCAGTTCTTTCTGCTCTAAACCTCAGTAGCATTAAATTACTCGATAGATATAGAGATCTAAACAAAAATCAATTTACTGAGTGTGCATTACATGCAAGCCACAGACACCTTAACAGGCATGATACCAAGCACACCACAAAGCTATTTCGTATTAGCATAATTCCACCACTGATGTGACTAACAGAAAGTGCTCCTGAGCTGTGTGCAGCTCTGTTCAGTTTTACACAAAAATAACTCCCCAGGCAAACCTCATATAGGAAGTGGGTACACTTTTCTTCTCTGCTGAGTACCACCAGTCTTAAGAGCCAAGAGCACACATATTTAAAACAAAAATCTCTATGGAAGAAACCAGTGATTTGTTTTTTTCAATTAACAAAATTCTGAAGTAATGGAAGCTGTGAAGATGTTGGACACCTGTTTAAAACTCTGGATATATCACTGCCTTTAAAAGCATGTCCCAGTTCATAAAAATGCTGGTTCATATGTAGGGCTCACTCACCTAAGCATGAAAACAAAAATATATTTCCCAAGTAAAAATTAAAAAAAGAAAACGCTCTCTCCAGACTGTGTGATTTTTCTTGTTTACTTATTTGCTCTGGCTGTCTCTTTTTTACTTCACTCCTGTCTTGTGTAAAAGGAGGAGAAGAAGAAAAAAAAAAAAAAAAAAAAAGGCAGTTTTGATAACGGCAGAGTACAAAGTCCAGCAAACAGGAAGTCTCCCTAGCAGAGGTATTTATGGCTGCAGTGTTAAACTGTGCAGAAGGGGTATCTTTCTAGGATTGATTAGCTCAAAGAAAAAAAAAAATCTCAGTTCTAGAAGAAGATCGAATGTTTTTATATTGTGCAGGAAGTATTCACAGTATTTTATTTAATAAAGAGCCTTACAATAGGATACTATTTCCAAAAGAAGCAGCATTCATTCAAAACTCTCTTAATACACACGGATTTTGACTCGGCTCCAAAACACTGGTCAGAGCGGAACAAGATAGAAAGCCCAGAATTAATTTGCTTGATTGTATCTCTGTATGGAGAGAAATGCACTAACATACATATGAAAGAAAAGAGGAAAAGAAAAAAAAAAAAAACACAGAAATGGTTTGTTTTGGAGATGCTTCAATATCTGATGTGGGAATCACTATCAGTATATGCAAGGTCATACCTCACTTAGTGTCCAGAAGTGAGTTCAATTTACCCGATAACCACCCTTCTGTGCCACAGACAGCCCTCCAGACACCCGACTGCATTTCCTTTCACAGGGCACTCAGTGCCAGGATCGAATAAGGCATTTAAGAAATTCCTGGGAAACGACCATCCACGAGCAGAGCCACGGGTAGCGATTTGGAAGAGACAGGAGCGCGCGGCCAAGGCCGGTGCCCAGCAAGCCAAGCACCCGTCGTGCACCTGCCCCCGTGCCCATCGCCGACACTGAAGGATGGCTTCTCCACGGGACTGGGCACTAAACCTGCGGAAAAGAGGCGCCTGGGAACGAGCAGGAGTTGTATTTCCCGGCTTTCAGCGATTTAGAAGCTCCGGCCGCTCACCGCAGATGAAGCGGCAAAGTTGTGATGGCCACAGACCCAAACAGGTCCCCGCTGGCGGCGCGAGGGCGGCCGCCGCTTCCCAGAGACACTTTCCAGGTTCCTGGCGAGCGCCAGAGCCGCAAGGCAGAGAGCGGCAGCCGCCCGCAGCTCTCGCTGTGCTCCACCACCTCCCAGCGGCTCCGCAGCCCCGCTCCAGCCGTGGCTCCCAATCCTCCTCCTCCTCCAGCACCTCCTGCTGCTCCTTCTCCGGACGGGAACCAGCAAAGGCGGACAGTTCTGCCCTGCTCCAAGTTATTCCTAACGCCTCGGCCGCTTCTCCTCCTACCTCTCGCAGCCCACTCCGCGGCTCGGGAGGCCACCCGCACATCCCGCCGGGATGCGGGAGGGCTTCCCGGTGACCGCGCGCGGCGGGGGCAGCCGGTGCGCTCCCACCTCCCGCGCTCATCCCGCCGGGGCACGGAGCGCGGGAGCATCCCCAAGGATGCTGGCGGGCGCCAACAGCCCGCGGCCACACCGAGCGATACCGGGGTGACGCGAGGCAACGGGAGCGAAGCAAAAGCATAAATAAATAAACACACAGGGAAATAAATAAATAAATAAATAAATAAATAAATAAATAAATAAATAAATAAATAAGGGGGGCGGCAGGAAATGGTCTGGGGCAGGGGCCGGGCGCGCTCGCAGCGCTGCCCCCCGGCGCCAGGGGGCTCCAGGAGGCTCCGCGCGGACCGGGCCGGGCTGGGCCGGGCCGGGCCGGGCCGGGGGCTCCCGGCGGCGCCGCCCGCGGGCGCGGCTCCTACCTGCGCTGCGGCGGTGCCCGGTGATGACGGCCTCTCCGGTGAGCGGGTGCAGCCACGTCGTGCTCTTCGCCTCCTCGCTGCGGGGACACACACACACACACACACACACACACACGCACCGGGTAAGCCGGGAGCCGGCACCCCCGCCCGGCCCGGCCCGCGGCGCGGCGCGGCCCCGCACTCACTTGATGAAGAAGACGCGGCCGCCCTGGCTGATGCCGTAACTCCAGCTGCCGGGCAGCGCCCGCAGCCGCTCCGCGCTCAGCTCCGCCATGGCCGCCCGCGCAGCCGGCGAGCGCCGAGCGGGAGGCGACGGGCACGCGCAGGCAGCGAGCGAGGGGGGCGCGCGCGCGCGCGCGAGCCGGCGGGCGGGCGCGGCCCCGACGCCGCCACCACCTCGGGGCGGGGGGAGGTGGCGCGGACGCCCCGCCCCCTGCCCGCCCCTCCCGCCGCGGGGGCGCGCGCCGGCCGTTGGGGCGGGGCGGGCGCCGCGCGAGGGGGGCCGCCGGTTGCGCCGTAACGGTCGCGCCCCCCCGAAACGACAACAAAAAAAAACGCAAAAACAAAGCGAACCCCTCTCCCTTTCATCTTTCTAGGCAATGAGCCCCCGCTCCTGGAGCCCAGGACGCGCTTCCCGGGCGGCGGCGGGCCCTGCCTGCCCCGCGGAAGAGCTTCCATGCGGGGCAAACCTCGGCGTTTTGAAAGTACAAATGGGAGGCACCGCGGCTGTTCGTCTCCCCTTGGGTCTGCAAAGACGCGCGTTCTTACGGGAAATTAAAACTTTCCTCGGATTTCCTCCGGGGGCGTATACACTCTTCTGGTGCTCACTGCTCCAAGATTTATTTAAAAAAAAAAAAAAAATTCTCATATGAACATGTAGTCTTCAAAAGCAAAAAGATGCTTTTTCTTTTTCTTGATATAAACAGCCCCATTTCTTGAGCTGAATGCCAGTGCTGTAAAAGATGTCAAGGTATAGCAGGCTTCTATTCACATGAGTAATCTGTGCTTGCATTTATACAAAAGGAATAAACAAAAATGTACTAGAACTTTGCTGGGGCCATCATCTTCCTCGGGGAATCACCCTTAGACAAGCACCTTCCAAATGAGGGATGAAGCCAGAGGGTCTGTCAGCAAAGTCCACGTGCACACAAAAATTGGCAGTTCTGACAGGATTCTGCACAGCAACTGCCCTCCTCCTGCCCTCATCCTCCGAAAAACAACGGAGCGGAGCTAAACAAGCTGGTGTGTGACTTGGTCCTCGCCACGCCTGGTGGGCAACACCTTGGGACACGGTTGTCCAACACAAAAGCTGTGGGCGCGCGAGCAAATCTGAGTTGTCTCCATGTGGCTGGAGGTAAGAGCAGGGTTCCTCCTCCCAGCCGTGCTCTTCGTCTTCGCTTGCCGCTGACAGCACCGGAGATTTATAGACTACCAGAAAAAGACACGCTGGAGAAAGCACAAGTTCTTCTATAAACAGCTCCCTTCCCTCCTAAGAGCCGGGGCCTTTAGAGATGAGTGGAAGTGAAGCACAACTTCCAGTGGAGAGCTGCCTGGCCGCAGCACACAGGGAAAGACACCACATGTGCCTGGGGCTCCTGGGGTAGCTGTTCCCTGCTCCTTCCCTCCACCCGCGGCACAGCCAGCGCAGAAGCTCCTGATCCGGAGAGCAGCACACGCCGCCCATCGCGCAGTGCCAGTTTTCTGTAGCAGAGAGGGACACACTGCGCAGCGAGACCCGTGTTGGCTCCGAGCCATAAGATCATCTGAAGCTCGATCCGGGCGCACAAATCCCGCCTAATCCCAGCACGTGCTTGGCCAGGCTCCTTCCGTAGGCCGCTGCGTTTTGCCAGTAGGTTTCCTCATTTATTGTTTTGCGCATGTTTGCAATTGTTGCCGTCTTGGTGAAAACCAAGAGCATTGTACCCAAAATATGTCCAAGCCTCCTTGAGTTCTCAGTCAAGATGTTCCTCTGTGGAGATCTCCCACAGAGCCCTGGTGAATTAGGTGCATTCGGGCCACACCTAGCAAGGAATTACAAGGAATTAGTTTCTGTCATAACCAGGAACCAAGCAAACCTCTTAAGCTTGAAGGATGAAGGGCTTTTAAAGCCATGTCACTCTTTCCAGGAAGATGCTTTAGCTCCCAGCTATAAGCTGATCTAAAGCTGGGACTATTCTACAGGACCGTAGATGCGTCTCCTCTTCCTGCTGAAGTCATGTTTTGCAGACAGAATTAATAGGCTCTATGGAGGTGCAGGACTTGCTGCTGTCATGAATAGGAAGCTGATCTGGGGAGCGATGGAAATTCTTGGTTCCATTCCATTGTTTGAGGACGCTTACATTATCTCATGTTAAGCAGTCATCGAATGAAATCTGACATTAATAGTTTGGGAACATATGGAGGACACATTGCAACTGTATTTTCCAAAGTTAATCCTGCAAGATGCCCTGCACCATGAACTCACATTGATTCCTGGGAGCCCTGAGTTCTCTCATTTCATTTCATGGAGTTCATGAATTGCAAATAGTACAAGGGAAAACATCATCTGTGCAGACCGGTGCTACTGGGATTAAGAGTTTTCTTCCTTGTAAAGACTGTTGTCGGCTTCATAGTTAAAACTTTGCTTCAAACTTAGTGCAAAAGTTTGATTTAAAAAAAAAATAAAAAAGCACTCATCAGGTTTTCCCAAAGTTCGCAATTTTTCAGCTGTCAGATAAAGGCTTGAGTGCTCTTTAAAGGGGGGCTGGAGAGGGGGCTGGAGAAAATTCCTTTTAAGAAGCCACACATAGGCCTCCACCTTAATGAAACTCTCTTTTAAAAGCACCCACAGCAACTCTTCATATTATTTAAAATACTACATATTTTACCTTTCACACCATTCCTTTTATTACAAAAATGAACTGCGGAGTACACGTTTGAAACTGCTCAATCTGATTTAACAGCTGAACAAGACTCCTGAAATCCGTTCGGGTGCTCCCATCTGTCCAGCGCTCCCTTTTGTTTCCAGCAGAGCCGAGGACTAGGGTCATTCCAGCCGCAGCCCTCCCTGCCCTCTGCGTTCGTGGCCGGCCTGTCGGCTCGCCCATCTGTGGCTGCTGGGGTGTGAACGCAGCGGGTTGTGGTTGCTCAGCATGGGCAAGGGCAGAGGCCTCCCACCAGCATCAGCCGTCCCTGAGAGCCTGGCATAAAATTAAACTCCACTCCCTCTGGGATCTTTCCTTAGGTTCTCCATTCCCACCTACGTTTTCGCCTTTGCTTTTCACCTCTCCAGGACAGCAGATTTCCTAGTAACTCCTGCTCAGGGAAGACACAAAAGCACAAAGTTACTGATGTCAACGTGAAAAAAAAAACAAAATCACGTCAGCTGGATTATGTATACAAAGTCAAAATGTTTAAAATTCCAGAGGCAAATGAACGCTGCCCACAAAATAATAAATCCCTTTAGCCGGGATTAATTAGAAGCCACCGCCGGGGCGCAGTCCCTGAGCAGCCTCACGGAAATGCATCCCCGCCTCTCCCAGCAGGTGTGGGGCAACGAGGAGCGCGAGGAGGGAAACACACGGCATGCCAAGGATGGCGCTCGGCAGTGCCGGAGCATCCGCAGCTGGCACAGACGGCAGCTCCGCCTTGCCCGGGGCCTCTCTCGCCCCACGCTGTGTGAGGCAAACGGGAGGAGGTCACCTCGGGGAGCACGGGGCCTTAGCTTTTTCTGCTGTTCAGGAGCAAGCCAGTATAAAGTTAACACTGCAGGAAAAGACTCACACCGAGGGGGCCACTCTGTGCTGCACATCCACTTTCCAGGAGGGCGTTTCTTTTTGCCCCATCCCTAACGGTGAGGGTTGTTTGCTCCCACCCTGGTGATATTAAAGCTCAGGAAGAATAGGATCAGCTTGCGGAGCTGATAGGAAATGAATTGCCAAATGTCTCCATTCCTTTCCCTCGGAGCAGTAAGCTCATCCAATGCACCCCGAAGTCTCCTGACAGTGAGACGCAGTGTGTGGCAGGGCAAGAGCATGGCCTCTCCTTTTGGCCCATATTCCTCGGGGACAGGGAAAAAACAAACCCGTGGCTTGACCTTCTCTGGAGCTCGGGTATCTTTGTGGAGACGCAAGAATCAATTAGCCTAGGTTAGAGGAAATAAGGGAAAGAAAGAGCTGCCAAAACACATTTCTGCCTGTCCTTTGCTGTAAATAAAGAGGCTGATAAGAGTTCAGGGGTCCCATCCGGTAGCGCGGATGGCTGCGAGTTTTCCTGAGGGTCACTGGTACAAGCGACCCAGTAGTTCCCATCTCCGTTAGCGTAAAGCCTCAACCTGACTGAACAAGCACTGGGTCATTAGCCTCCCTGTCATCGGCAAGAGGAATTCCTAGCAGAGCATTTTCGCAGTCTGTGAGATCCAGAACTAAAGCCTGTTTTCACTCAGGCAGCAGAAATAAACCATTTATTTTCCAGTTTTGCAATCTGCCTGTGCTGGCCAGAAAAAGCAGTTTTGCTCTTTTTAAAACTCTTTTTAGCAGCAATTAATGATTTCCAGGTAAAGCTGTGTTGTACAAAATTTTTGTTTCCTTAGGGGCAGTAAGTCTGATAGATTCCTTTTAAAAAATACCATCAAACTAGTACAAACATACCCCAAAGCCAGAAAATGATCTTTTCTTTCTTTTTTTTCCCCCTGGTAGGCAACATCAGAAAAGCAAAAGGGCTTGTTACTCTCCTAACCAGCATCATCTTCTCAGAGGATGGTCGTTCACCATTTGATGCAATTTTGAACAACAAATAGTTCCTCTGTAGCTTCAAAGCTTTGATTACCTTACTGCCCATATCACATACGGCACAACAAGCTTCTGGTTTGGTCCTCAAGGCTAAAGGGAAGTGATGCCATCCTCAGGGGCTTCAGATTGCATTTGCTGATCATATCGTATGCAAACATCTCAAAAACCCCCGAGGCCCTGAGCTGAAGAGCCGCTTTGCAGGAACCTTTCATTATAACTCTTTTCCCCCAAACTTCACAAGCCTCTTGCTGAGGAAGGACCCCAGCCCACCATGACAAGCTGAACAGTTGT